TTTTTTTTTTTTTTTTTTTTTTTTTTTTTTTTTTTTTTTTTTTTTTTTTTTTTTTTTTTTTTTTTTTTTTTTTTTTTTTTTTTTTTTTTTTTTTTTTTTTTTTTTTTTTTTTTTTTTTTTTTTTTTTTTTTTTTTTTTTTTTTTTTTTTTTTTTTTTTTTTTTTTTTTTTTTTTTTTTTTTTTTTTTTTTTTTTTTTTTTTTTTTTTTTTTTTTTTTTTTTTTTTTTTTTTTTTTTTTTTTTTTTTTTTTTTTTTTTTTTTTTTTTTTTTTTTTTTTTTTTTTTTTTTTTTTTTTTTTTTTTTTTTTTTTTTTTTTTTTTTTTTTTTTTTTTTTTTTTTTTTTTTTTTTTTTTTTTTTTTTTTTTTTTTTTTTTTTTTTTTTTTTTTTTTTTTTTTTTTTTTTTTTTTTTTTTTTTTTTTTTTTTTTTTTTTTTTTTTTTTTTTTTTTTTTTTTTTTTTTTTTTTTTTTTTTTTTTTTTTTTTTTTTTTTTTTTTTTTTTTTTTTTTTTTTTTTTTTTTTTTTTTTTTTTTTTTTTTTTTTTNTTGTGAGTCCTCGCCTCGGGCTCCTACTTATGGTTTTCCTATCGCTTCCAGCTCGCACAGTGATCGGGGTTTTTTACCGCTTCGGAGGCTGATGACATAGCCCGGGTCTTCTTTTTGAGTGGTACCTGCTCCACCTCAGGCACAGGCTCGACCACACCAGGCGAAAAAACGAACCTCGAAGATTCGTCCGGTGGGGATCGAACCCACGCCCTACGGCGTACCTTGTATCAGCAGGCAAGAACTATACCCACTGAGCCAAGGAGGCCGATGTGTGTGTGTGTGTGTGTGTGTGTGTGTGTGTGTGTGTGTGTGTGTGTATACGTACGTTCCGGGGGGCAGACGAGAGAGAACGCGCAGAGGCGCGCGAGCGAGTGCACATAAGACATTAACTCGTGTATGCAGCAGCCGACGAGCTTACAAGCGCCCACGTATTATTTAGAACGACGGTACAATTGCCGCGCGTATACATATAGCTCATGGAATTAGCTGCCGCTGCTGTTTCGCCTGTGTTTTTACTTCCTCGTGATGTTCGTTTATTATTTATTTCATCGCGCGCGCGTGTGTAGCCAAGGCATTTAATCGAGCTTGCGATGGCTGACGCTCCGTTCGGACACCACGAATTTTACGCGCAATTTCGTTAATCGTATATATTTACGGAAAAAGGACGCTGCTGTATACACGACAATTGCGCGCTCGCTCGACCCCTCGGTCAATGCGTCGAGATCGTCTCTCTCTCTCTCGTTCGTTCGATGCTCTTCGATGAGTCAAAGTACTGCGAATGCGAGGCTAAACGTATATAGATATAGAATAAAAGTTTTGCTACCCCGCCTGCCATTACCCGAGTCACACTGTCACTGGAACGCGACGGACTCGTATATTCTCATTGGAGAAAAGCTCGGGTATACAAGGACGACGTTTCCTTCCTATTTATTTACGTATTGATGTAGAGTTCGATGTGCTGTCTTACGTTGTATACGGTAAACGCATGTACAGCTGTGTGGGGCTTTGTCCCCGCCCGTCTCTTCATTTTCCATTGACGATCTTCTTTCCTTTTTTTTTTCTCCTTCTTCTTCTCTCTTTTCAACTTCCTCTGCATCGGAAACACGAGCGAGAGAGAGAAGAAGAAGCTGCATCGTCATTAGCTCCATGACTCCGCGCTGCAATCTTACAGCTATACTCCAGAGAGCTGCTATGGAAAATTAGTATTCTTACCCGACTCGGCTGACTTGACAAATGTATATTATTCATTTGTCGCGCCAGCGCAGCAGCGAAAGGATGAGAGGCAGAAGAAGTTTTGCTACCTCGCGCGCGCCAATGCCGCTGTAAAAGGGTATTTCATCTCCAGAGAGAAAGAGAGAGAGAGAGAGAGAGTGTGTGTGTGAGAGGAAGAGACGTTTACTACAGGCGACGAGGAATATAAGGTAAACGTAGAAAATAGAAGGAAGGTGCGAAATGACAAAGGCCAAGCGGTTAATAACATTGTACCTGCTGCTTTTTCCCCTCCGCGAGACTCGTTCTAATGAGAAGAACGCGTCTATGTATGGAAGTCGTCGAATTCGAACTCGCGACAAATTACAGCTAACGTCGACTTTTGTTCCTGCACCTATACCTATCCTGAACACGTGACGCGTACTATATACGTACGTACGAACGCGAGAGTACAATTATATCGACGACGTTTTTTTGGGGAGGGGGGGGGNGGGGGGGGGGGGGGGGGGGAATTTAGAGAAATGTAGTACATATAGTCGGTCGCTGAAATGGACAAACCCGGAGTTACAAAAATGGCACGACGATATGAAAAAACCACACGCCGAATACACGCATACAGAGGCCAGTTATATATTTCGGCAGAGATTTTTTTTTCGCCGTTTGAATTTCAATTACTTTGCAAAATTTTTGGTGGACCGACGCGCGCGAGAGAGAGAGAGAGAGAGAGAAATTGGTACCAGACGTACCTCGTTTTATTCAAAAAGTCAGTACACCTGAGCGACGCAGAATATCGTAAAGTTTATACATACCGATCAAAACCTTTTATTTTCCGGAACAGGCGAATTTCCATTGATAAAGGTATAACTGTATGTACGCATGATCCTACAATACAGCTACTGCGACGCATCGAGTGATTTTTTATAACGACGTAAGGTACGTAGCGTGGATGGAAAAAAAGGAATCCCCAGAGTTAAAAAGAATGCTGCCACTGCTGCCTGCAGCGGGGTCGACTCTGTTTGGTTTTTACTCATCGTCGAGTACCTATATATAGACATTAGTTATCCCTCCCGTAGAAATAACGAGATGCACGGTGAGTTGAGTTTTTTGATCAGTCGACGGTAGTAGTACACGACGACGAGGCTTGGTGGCTTTTCGTCGTTACGTGTCGGGGGGCCTCCTGGCTAGCTTCCAATTAGCGGCATTTTCTCATTCTTGCACCCGCACCCGAGCGCACACACACAGGTATATATATTTATTTCACGTATATACACACTCTTTGCGGCCGGAGCTGCTAAAACAGAGCGAGAGAGAGAGAGAGAGAGAGACGAGTAAAAAAAACAGGAAAGTGCACGAGACCGCCGCGCCTAAGCTAAAACGCGCGAGAGAGAGAGAGAGAGACTCATAATGTTGAAGGGAAGAAAAAAAGAGTACGTATAAAGCACGTAGACACGAGTCCCGCCCGCGTGTAACCTCTGTGTGTGTAGTATATAATAGAGGGTGGGTGAGAGAGAGAGAGAGCTAGAAAATTTTTATCATCAATTTAATGAGAAAGGCAGAATGTAAAAAACATTTTAATACGCTGACTCGCTTCTGCTATATACTACTCGTGCTAGCAGCTACTGCCTCTATACGGCACTATATATAGCTCAATTTTTATATCTCTCAAGATTTTCCCTTTTTACTCTCTGTGTTGCTGCTGCAGGTAGGTAGTTAGGTAGAGTAGCAACGAGCTAACTACTTTTTTTCGCTTTCTTTCCTTCGGCATAAATACACGACACGAGTTGTCGCGTAATAAAAAAAAATTGCCTAGAAATACACGGTAGATTCGCAAGGAAAATATTGAATATTATACTCGCGGTAACTCGGGAAATCGACAAATTAGTCGAGGATTAACATGGGATACTTGAAATTATTATTTTTCTTCTTATCTTTAGTTCAATTTTATTTATAATTAATTTTTGTTTTTTTTTTTAACTTTTGTTAAACGATGCACGAAACGAAGCGCCTTTTTGTGCTGTCTGTATTATATTATAATACAAGCGAACGCGTAACCGCACACGCCATTCAAGCGGCGCACGGTTCGAGGCGCGCTGCAGTCGGGACCCGTGTAGCGCGCGCCGCGCGTGCATTTATCGATCGGAAACATTTAATACACCTGAGTCAGCGGCTCATTTCAGCGTATGTGTCAAAAAGAAAAAAGAATCGGAAACGCTCTGCACGCTTGTAGCGCGCATAGTGTACGCGTCGAGCTCGCAACACACATAAACCCCCCCTCCCCTCTCGTACCGCCGCCGCCACAAGTTTTATGTGGCGCACCACCATCGTCATCATCGAGTACGTACTCATTGAAAAGAGTATAGTAAAAAAAAAAAAGTAACCGAGACAGCGCCGCATTGTAAAGCGTCTCTCTCTTTCTCTCTTACTTTCTGTGCGCTGTGCTGTGCTTCAAGTGTGAAGGCTGCGTTAAAGTCTCTTTGTTGTATGTACCCGAAGCTCTTTCGAGCAGCACTGGCCTCCGGAGAGAGAGAGAGAGAGAAAGAGAGAGAGAGAGAGAGGAAAAGCTCGAGCGAGCTCGCTGCTGCCACTGCCGTGTATTAAATATATATCTAGGCCTGCTGCAGCTGCGTGTGGAAAATCAATGGCCTCGCCGCTACCACCGCGTCGATGTGTGCGTGTGCATCGATGTTGCTGAACTCGCAACGAAGATGCGCCTACTAATACCCCCGCTTCGAAAAGCTGCATTACCGTTTCGGTGCTCATTAACTTTTCATACGGTTCATAGGAGTTACAGGGTCATGCAAAATGATCGGATTACAGTTGTTATTATTGGTAATTACTAGTTTATTAGCACCGGATAGGCGGATCTGTGTGTAGCTAATTTACAAGAAAGCTCCAATTATATTGAACTATATTTTTTTACGGAAATGTTTTTATCTCAAAAAAATAATTGTGATGTATTATTTATTTATTTTTTTTAAATTTTTCCTGCAAGTTAAATAATCTCTTCGACCTTTTTATTTTTATTTTCATTTTAATGTGGACCGAATATCGGATTTCATTTTCTTCATATCGTTGCGGTGGAATTGCAATAATTTACATGGCTTAGCGTGAGTTTCTCCGCCAGTATTATATGCATATTATACTCACAATAGCGCGCGCGCGCGTGGCCATATCAGTTGGGAGAGACTGGAATTACACACTCGGCTTGTAATATTCAATGCTCTGTATGTTTGAAGTAAAGGGCTCACCTCGTTTCGAATGAATCCAAGTTGAAACTCGCTGGATCCTGCAAAAAGCAAAGTGAATTGATTTAATATTATTGACGTTACTTCATCGGGCATAATTAGCATTGAATTTTGGAGTATTGTAGTAAGGTGTAAAATTATGATGAACGCGTTGATCATTTATAAATATTCATATCTTTGCGTGCAAAAGTTATAAACCAGCTTGCTGCGATTCGTCTTTTGCTTTAACTGATGATCAAAAAATGTTTTAAACGTCAATCGAAATTAAAGCCAGCCTCCATCGCTAGATGGCGACTTACCTTCATCGGTAATTCTGCAAGCGGCAAAGTTAAAATCATTGAATAAGTGAAGGCAAGGTTTTTAAGTCAGTTATTTCCTATGACAAATGACCATTCATGGCAATTGACCATTAAATGGCCTTTTTTTATGAGAAAAAGCGTTACACTATAGGTCAAAAAATTTTGCATTTCTACCAGGGTATAGAATAATAATAATAATCATTTTCCGAATACGCAAAGTAAAACGAGGGAAAACGTCAGTTTTGGGAAGATGCTGCGTCATTGTGATTCGACGACAGATGGCAATGTATGAACATAGAAATTACTCGTACGATGAGCCGAAAATGCTGTCTATGAATGAATATTTTCTTACTTTCTCCGTGAGTTGAAATTCGAGCTTAGAATAAAACAGACCTGTCTGTTGAAAATTGAGTTTCATTTATTCTGTTAAAGCAGTAAAGTTGGTATGAATCTTGTTTGAGACCGTCTGAAATCTAAATTTTTGTATAACACTATTGACCTACTTGTTCGACGAAAAAAATGTATGCGTTGTATTTATAGAAGTGCTAAATATTTACTTTTTATTTTTGAAACTCGCACTTGATAACCAGTTTTAGTTATGCTCAAGTTATCCCAATAAATTTAAACCTATTCGTTTGATTACATCTATAACTGATAAGCAGTTGAATAAAAATAAGTGATCTTTTTGTTGTTTTCATTAGAGATCAATGCTTGTTCTTTAAAATCAGTATCAAAATATTTTATTTCGAGCATTCGATTATTCAATTTTCTTCATTTTGTTCTCAGGTATGGCATTACTAAAAGTTTCATTATTCGTAAAGCCTGGCTTCAATGAAATCCAATACAGTTCATCAGATTGTAATGAGAAACTGCAGCTATAAAAAAAGTAAATGTTTGCTAAAACGATCTCTGCAATTGCTTCTGAAGAATCGCCGAACGGTATGAGGACTTTTATTTGAATAATGATTTATAACAAAATAAAAACAAAATAAAAACAACATTTGTTATAACATTGTCATCGCATCAAATTATTCCCTTTACAACACTCGATGCGTTATAAACATTCAATCATTGTACAAGTGTATAGGATTACAATTTCTAGTCTCGTAAATTAATCAATCAAATGAAAAACAATCACGTTAAAAATGTTTACAAAGCTCGCTGTTTCATTCATCCAATTATACAACAATTATTTAATTAATTAGACGAAAGGTATTAATGTGTGTTAAAAAAATATATCACATGCAAATTGAGCAACAAAATAAAAAAATTATTAGTACAGGTCCGGTATTTCCATATTCCATATGACTCAATTATACTAAACTGAGTTGAGATAGCGAAGTGTAACATTGTCTTCGAAAACGTGTCATGAAGGCAGTATTTAATTCGTGTATCTAATAGAAAGAATCCGAATTCGAGGAAAAGTACCCCACCTCCAAAGACTTGATTTGACTGAACGCAGCTACAGCCGAAAAGTTTGACCCACATCTATCACATGTGGCTTATGGTAAAGGCATTTGACTTTTTGACACGCACGCGCGCGCAGTTACCTATTGACCAGCGAGTGCAGTAGTATCCAAAAAAGACACATACACTTTCGAAATTCGAGCATTAGAACTCGAACAATATAACTTTCACTCATTTTCATCTCACGAATATACTACGGAGCACGTATTCGGTCTTGAAGTATCATTGCATCTAGGCTGTTCGTTCAGTTGGACACCAGCATTTGAGCTCGAAGCATCTAGTTAAACTTAAATTTTCAGTTGCTTTTTTTCATTCATTTCTTCTAACACGCTCTTAGAACAATGAACAACAACATGAATATAAATGTGGTCAGTTTAAATGTGATCAGGGGTATAGAAAGGCAGTTGCTAAGGCAAACAACTTCAATGGTTTACCAGGGTACTTGTTCACTTCCAGATGATGTATTATTGGAACAGATAAAGCCTCTTTTGCATCGGGACTCAGCGAAGCCTTATCAATCTCAAACAAGGTGCAAACATCACAACAAGATGCAAGCGAGGTATGGCAAAATAGTTAAACGAAGACAGTCGATTGTTCGTAGAGTGAAACAAAGGATCGACAGGCTGTGCGAATCACAAAAAAAAAAAGAAGAAGCAAAGGCCATGGCAACATTGAGACGACGGATCGGACGGACGGATCCGAAAATCAAAGCACTCGGTGAGTACACACAATCGCGTGCCAAGGGTCTGGAGGAATCATTTGAGCAAATGCGCCTCGAGAATACAAGTCCACTGTACAACGAGTCGGAGCAGCAGCAAAGTGACGGACAATCGAGAAGTTCAAGTTCAAGTTTGAGTGCCGAAGAAGAAGAAAAATTGTGTGAAAGATTGACTACTTTGGCATGTGTCTTGCCAAAGTAGCACCCCTGGTATGGACGGCGAGTTTGCGTAGAAAAAGTAGTCGCCGCGCAACAAAATAGCTTACTCGACCGGATCGGTCTCGAGCCAAAGAGTTGAAAGAATTAAAAAGGCGCGCGTGAGTGTGTGTGTGCGTGTGCCAGAGTTAAGATCACCGTATGAATAAGTCAGCGACCATGTGCTCGTGTAAAAATGCAACGACTGCGTGTATATTTTCTAGTAACCTTGTGTGCGTGTAATGTTTGTGAAATTTGTTACTTTAGTAAAAGCATGCTTGTAAAAAATATGATGTAAAATAAACGAATTATTAATAATCAATTTTAATTTTTGGCTCAGCGTAAATAATGCGTGCTTGTAAAAAAAATGTTATGTAAAATAAATAAATTATTAATAATAAATTTTAATTGTATTCAATTTCACCCACGATACTTGCTTTGAACAATGTCACAAATTTAATTATTCATTCTACAATTTTTCTCACTCACAGATACGATTACGTAAGTTAAATGTCTCGTATAAGATAAGAGGCGCGGAGTCATTAAAAAAAAAAAAAATATCTCAAATGTCAAAGTGTATAAAAATTCATGCAAGGGTACGCGTGCACGGTAAATTATACCCTTTAGCACAATTCGTTATCAGCTTGACTCCTTGAGCAGCTGTTTTTTACTCGATCTCTCTCTCTCTCTCATTCTCTCTCTGCCTCACCCACGTGTTCTCGTACGCATCGTCAATTAAGACGTGAAGAAAAAAAAATTGCTCATACATACGCACGCAGCGCGAGCCCATCGTCGTCGCGTAGGGCTGCAACAGCAGCAACGGCAGCCACTTAGCACACTCTCTCTCTCTCTCTCTCTCTTTGCAAAATCAAGTGTTTCATTAAGGCGAAAATGCGTACGCGCTTGTGCGTATTCAAACGGCTTGTATGCTATACGTGTGTGTGAGTGTAAGCGCATACATCTATATCGCCACGCGGAATCGGAGAAAGCCACTTCAGAGCGATCTATCGCTTTTGTACACACACGTCGTCGTGTGGGCACTGCATATACACACAGCCAAGGGGGAGAATGAAACAAAAACACTGGTGGAGGTTTTTTTTCTTCGTGCTCGCTCAAAACCCTTTGATTATTTTTCAAGGATAGTTACGAGAACGCCGGCAGCATTTTTTTCCGGCTTATGTATACACGTATAGAGCGTATTAATGAGTACGGAGAGAAAAATGTTTGCACTGACTAATAGCGACGGCGTGAAATTTGTTTGGGAACGTGTTTCATAGAGTGGAAATAACATTTTATTTTTTAATTTTTTTAACATACATCGAATTTTGTTGGAAAATTGTTTATACTCGCTACACTGAAAATGTAAAATAGCCCCCCCCCCCCCCCNAAAAACCCCCCCCCCCCCCCCTAGTCCTGATTGTCCGAGCGATAGTTTCTGGAACGCTATATAGTACAAGCGATTCTAGTACGTGTCAATACTATACTACTATACATAAAAATGAGATGTAATACATCCGGTGCACAACAATAAAGGTGTGAGTCTAGTGGTGTGAGCCGAAAAATCTAATAGCAGCTACTATTACACTCGCTAGGTTCACTGTAGCTCTCTAACAGACAATACTATTTGATACTTTTAGTGTATGGTATATAAATTTCAGTGTGTGACCGAACGAGTTGTATTTTGAAAGTAATGTCTTATCTAATCTTACTTTGGGCATCTGACACTAAATATTAATGAGCTCATATATATTTTAATTGAGTTCTAAAGCAAATGCTGATTATGAAATTATACATCAATTTTTACACTTTTTTTTTTGTTAAAAATACCCTGTTTTTTATAAGGTTCACAATAAATGACCAAACCTCTACATTAAACTATCAGCACTATTTAATATTTATCTAATAAATAGTACCTGACACAATCACATCAAGAATACTGATAATGAAATATCTACTGCTATAGAGAATGATAAATTTTCCGACGAACTGTTCTGAAATTTATGTGAACATTTTTTTCTTAGTTTCGTATGCTCGTTGTTAAAAAAAAAATTTTTTATTTCAAAAACTTGTTGAACCGTGTATAATACAGTTTTCAGCAGTCGAGTGTACGTGCGTCGCGTACAACTACGTCGAGCAGCGAAAAGCTCGCATACGCGCAGATAAACATCTAAATACAGGAAAAGCGTTTAAAGCCACTTTTTTTGCCGCTGCCTCGTGTTGTCGTTGCGCCGCACTCATCGACCATGCCTCGCGGAAATTTTTGCTTGTCGTATGGTGCGCAGTAGTACCTAGCCCGCGAAAACATGAAGTTGTTATTTTTATGAGACACCGAGAGAGAGAACTACATACATACCGCTTGTGC